AAATACATTTCTATTCGTATGAGGTCTTATAGGAAGTCCAAAACAAAAGCATGAGAGCTTATGCTCAACGTGAACAATATTGTACCATTGTGGAGATTCGTAATTCTAACATGCTGGAGATCTCGCAACCACAACCGATCTCATGTCTTTCCCTTCAAATCTCTCTCATTTAACTCGAAAATCGACGTATATCAAGAGGAAGAACATTGCAACTCACGAGATGGTTCAACACGTTGTTTGCCTTGCCTCTTGTCACTTGGATCTCAACTCGTTAACACCTCACGTGTGGCTCGGATTGAGTCATCCCTCAGGTTGTTTCCTATATTTTTGACCTTTCAGAGCTATCTTTGACATTATTGGAGGCATTTGAGATTAGTATGACCCATGGTTGCTCAAATTAAACTATTTTGAGCTAGAAGATGGGATTATTTGATACCTTTAAATAAGCTAAGCTCATTAGTTTATTCTAATTTGATGACGTGGATTAACATCGGTCGAATCAAATGTTGAGGAACATATTCAAGCCAGCTCTAAGAACCTTTAGTGACTCTACTTAGGCTAACTATTGTGTTATGTATGATGAAGTGTCTTCCATGGCTTCAGCACCTGTCATAATTATGATTTTTATGCTATGTTGTTCTATGTTATGTCACGATATGCTATGTTAAGTTATGTCATGTTTGTAAGTTATGCTATAGTGATATGTTATAATGACGATAATCTATAATGCATAAACCTCCATAGACCATGTCATACAAACTATACTATGTACGAAAGATTTGACACGAATTATGTATACATAATTCTAATACTATAGAAGAATGGAGGTTTGACGTGCATCAATAAATTTATAACATGATTTTAAGCTACGGAAGGGAACCTCATACATTTTTGTATGTCATATGCGTCGGGATACTTCCTCATTATAATAAGTATAGACGCATGCCTTACGACTTAAAACATTTATGTTCACCATAATGTTATGCGGACCATTTTCCTTCTTAGTGTCTGGCAGCCAATTAGCGAGTGCTAACCTAATGAGCTAGGCCCAAGGGGTATGTGAACGCGCTTGGTGAGCCAATGTGCACGTGCGTAAGCCGTGTGTAGAGAAGTATTCCATATCCAACCCTATCCGAATTAATTTTAGGAGAATCCACGAACCAACTCATCTCATAAAATTTTCAAATATTTGAACCTAACCCAACTCAATCTGATCCGTTTNTTTGAAATATATATTATTGTGTTGAGAATTTTTTTAATTAACAAAAAAAAAAGTATTGTTATGGGCGTGTGGGGGCAATGACGTAAGGGTTGTACGGATGGGAAATCCAAAAGGCCCATATCTTCTGTACAACCTAAGGTGATGTTAACATACACGTAGAGAAAGATGTGGCCTTTGCCTTATTATCTACATTTAGAGAGATAGATGGGTGGAAGTATCTAATTTGGATCCTTATGAGATCAACACATTTACAATACCATAAATATCAAGTACGGGTGTTCGGGAATTGAGTCGGGTTGTAATAAAACATTTTTTAAAGTCAATTCAATTGTTCGAGTTGTAAATTTTTCAATCGAAGCAACTCTTATTCAATAATGAATCTAATCCAGCTCATTCGTAAAATAGTTGGGTTAGATTAGTTTGTAACGACAGTTGAGTTCTTATTTTTAAAAAACTGTATAAAAAATATGAAATTTTCGGTTAGGTGTTGTGTTGAGGATTGTTGAGAAGGAGTCTCATTTAATGAACGATCATGGGTTTATGAGTAAGAAATACATTTCTATTCGTATGAGGTCTTATAGGAAGTCCAAAACAAAAGCATGAGAGCTTATGCTCAACGTGAACAATATTGTACCATTGTGGAGATTCGTAATTCTAACATGCTGGAGATCTCGCAACCACAACCGATCTCATGTCTTTCCCTTCAAATCTCTCTCATTTAACTCGAAAATCGACGTATATCAAGAGGAAGAACATTGCAACTCACGAGATGGTTCAACACGTTGTTTGCCTTGCCTCTTGTCACTTGGATCTCAACTCGTTAACACCTCACGTGTGGCTCGGATTGAGTCATCCCTCAGGTTGTTTCCTATATTTTTGACCTTTCAGAGCTATCTTTGACATTATTGGAGGCATTTGAGATTAGTATGACCCATGGTTGCTCAAATTAAACTATTTTGAGCTAGAAGATGGGATTATTTGATACCTTTAAATAAGCTAAGCTCATTAGTTTATTCTAATTTGATGACGTGGATTAACATCGGTCGAATCAAATGTTGAGGAACATATTCAAGCCAGCTCTAAGAACCTTTAGTGACTCTACTTAGGCTAACTATTGTGTTATGTATGATGAAGTGTCTTCCATGGCTTCAGCACCTGTCATAATTATGATTTTTATGCTATGTTGTTCTATGTTATGTCACGATATGCTATGTTAAGTTATGTCATGTTTGTAAGTTATGCTATAGTGATATGTTATAATGACGATAATCTATAATGCATAAACCTCCATAGACCATGTCATACAAACTATACTATGTACGAAAGATTTGACACGAATTATGTATACATAATTCTAATACTATAGAAGAATGGAGGTTTGACGTGCATCAATAAATTTATAACATGATTTTAAGCTACGGAAGGGAACCTCATACATTTTTGTATGTCATATGCGTCGGGATACTTCCTCATTATAATAAGTATAGACGCATGCCTTACGACTTAAAACATTTATGTTCACCATAATGTTATGCGGACCATTTTCCTTCTTAGTGTCTGGCAGCCAATTAGCGAGTGCTAACCTAATGAGCTAGGCCCAAGGGGTATGTGAACGCGCTTGGTGAGCCAATGTGCACGTGCGTAAGCCGTGTGTAGAGAAGTATTCCATATCCAACCCTATCCGAATTAATTTTAGGAGAATCCACGAACCAACTCATCTCATAAAATTTTCAAATATTTGAACCTAACCCAACTCAATCTGATCCGTTTTTCAAGTCAATTTTCTATGATCGTCAATCGAAATAATAATAATCTATCAAAATAATTCAATATTTAGGCTCCTATTATTGATATTTATGAAAACACCCAACATTTTATTCCTATTTATTCCTATTTTTGTGGTACCAATATGAGGAAGAAAAATTATTAGTCATTTAATCTTATGGTCCCATATTTTACAATATTTATATTGTAAGGCACCTAAATGTGTGGCTTTGATTTAGGGGTGCCTTTTTAAATTGTGTCGTTTTGTTATTAAAGTTACCTATAAATATAATAGTAAGCAAGTAATTAAGAGATTATTGATGTTCCTAAAGAATATCATTAAATAAACTTATAAAGACTATTCCAAAGTTTAGAAAAATTAAGAGATATTTTTCGAAAATAAAGATAAATGAGAAAATGACGAGGCATAAATGAGGCATGACAGTGGACACTACTACATGCATAACATATCTATAATGAGGCCGTGAACTTACACGTTCATAAAAAAGTCATGAAAGATAATGTGGCGGAAAATAAATAACACGAATTTAAATAAAATTAAGAAATTGAAGTATTTGCCCAAATTTAACCTAAGGGCTATGAAAGATAAACGTCGTGAATGTATTGCCCTAGTTTTGGTCCCGTAGTCGTCATTGTGATGTCGTAGTTCGTACAGGGGTGCCTTAGTTGAAAAATAAGAGTAGCACATGACTTGAGTATTTTAAAAAATACTCAGTAAGTAACTTTACTATTGGGTCGGAAAATGCATACGCAAGTAATCATAGAGGGACCTATTCTTTCATAAAAACATTTCATGACTTGAACTCTACTTTCCCGTTTGAGCTAAAATTGGATGTGTAGTACTTCTTTACACACGGGTCATGTATGCGCACATAGACCCACCGGGCAATCGTATACGTACTCTTGGGCTAGCCCTTTAGCTCACGTAGGCTCATGTTGTCAGAGTCATAGAGGAAAAGGAGTCTGCATAATAACACGACGTACATAGACATAATAATGTACACGTCCATACTCGTCGTAATGGGGAAGTATCCTAATGCATGTGACAAAAAAAAAAAAAAAAAAAAGTTGACCTCATGGGCCCGATCTTAGAGTTGACCTCAGGTCATACATTTATTATTTCATAAACTTAACTTTCATTTATACGTACACAGCGTAACGAATTATGATATGGATGAGTAATAATACTTGCAAAATGGTGTGTTTCTTGCCAAACACACTGTGATGTCTAAGTCAGATTCGGGATTATGTTAGTATAGCAAGAATTAGAATAGTTATAGCATAGCTCATGTGTGAGTCTCTTCTTTCCATTTATATCGAATTTGATCACCGATGAGAGTTTCTACACTTAGTTTTTCCTCTTCTTATTTCGATTTTAACCATTGTTTATCTAGACTAGACAGCTTGTCCTAAATAAAGAGTTGACCTCATGGGCCCGATTTAGACCTTGAATCACTAGGGAATGGTCTGCTCGAGTATGGTGACTTCACATCTGGCTTCGGGTCACTAGAGCATAGTCAACCGAGGTTCAACTCCTTGGCTTTCTTCATAGCTTTTTCATAATCCATTTTTATTTAGGATTTAATTTTACTCACAATAGTTCTGTGAAATCCCTCGTCAATTCGAAAGAATAGCGAAACATTCCTAATAAGTGTGTGGAAACATCTCTCTAATAAACGGGTTTTAAAATCTTGAGGGAAAGTCCAAAGAGAAAAATATATGTTAGTAATGAATTTGGGCCGTTACCGAGCGGTGTGCCAACAAGGACACTGACCCCTAAGAGGGATGGGACTATGAGATCCCACGTCGATTGGAGAGGCTTTCTGTATTTCTTATAAGAGTGTGGAAACCTCTCCAAACGTAAGAGAATCATGGATTACAATCTTATTAGTAATATTGTCTTCAAAACGAACATTTTCCTATTGATCTTAAGATAATGTTGCTATCACGAGTAATAATAATACGAGCTCGATTTCTTCGTGGCACAATTATGCACACCCAAGAATTAAAATATGTTGTATTAAGCTTATACATAAATAGAACCAAGAAATTATTTCCCAATTTAAAAAGAAAAAAAAATAACACAATTATTGAGAAGACATCAGTTCCTTTCTATCTTACAAATTTGATTTTATGATCGTATTTAGTAACTTTCCATTTTAAGTGCAACTCCATGTTATGTTCCAGTTTCAAAAACTATCAACAGCAGCAAGCCACAGACCAGGAACACAACACAGGAAGGACGACGACACTTACAGCGGGTCGATTCTCAAGATCCTCGGCCGCCTTTTTGTCGTTTCTCTTCTAATGCAGCAGCCTCGTTCAACATGTCGGCTGCGTCCTTGTGCATATCTAGCTTGGCAAGCGCAACGGCCTGCATGTAAAATGAAGTCGACCAATCGGGGTAAACACATTGGGCTTGCATCGCGTCTCGAAGAGCAGCGTCGGGTTGGTCACAAAGAAGATAACATAGGCTCCGTCGTGCATAAACAGTGGGAGAAACCATGGTGCCAACATCAATGAACTGCAGATTGTGTAGATCATAGTTACTTCTTGTTTTAGTCTTCAACAAGAACAATTCTTTCAATTCATTCATAACCAAAACAAACATCGAGAGCAACTAGTTGATTACGTATGTGAGATCCCGCATCGAATGAAGAAGAGAACGAAGCATTTTTTATAAGGGTGTGGACACCTCTCCCTCTCCCTAGCAGAGGTGTTTTAAAAACCTTGAGGGAAAGCCCAAAAGAGGACTATCTGCTAGTAGTGGGCTTTGTTAGACGAACACGACTCTCCACAATGGTATGATATTGTCCACTTTGAGCATAAGCTCTCATGGCTTTGCTTTGGGTTTCCCCAAAAGGCCTCATACCAATGGAGTTAGTATTCCTCACTTATAAACCCATGTTCGTTCCCTAAATTAGCCGATGTGGGACTTCCATCATCCAACAGGCTTGAGCTGTTATAAATGGTATTAGAGCCAGACACCGGGTGATGTGCCAGTGAAGAGGCTAGGCCCCAAATGGGTGAACACGAGGCAATGTGCCAGCAAGGATCCTAGGCCCCCAAAAGGGGGTGGATTGGGGAGGCCCACATCGATTGGAGAAAGAGAATGAGTGTTAGCGAGGACACTCGACTCCAAAGGGATGGATTGTGAGATCCCACATTGATTGGAGGGGCACGAAACATTCTTTATAAGGGTGTGGACACCTCTCCCTAGCAAACGCATTTTAAAAACCTCGAGGAGAACCTTGAAAGGGAAAGCCAAAGAGGACAATATATGCTAACGGTGAGCTCGAGCTGTTACAAATGGTATCAGAGCCAAGTGGGCTTGGGCCGTTACAAATGGTATCAGAGCCAGGTGGGCTTGGGCCGTTACAAGTGGTATCAAAGCCAGGTGGGCTTGGGCTAATCCAAATGGTATCAGAGCCAGACACCGAGAGATATGCCAGCAAGAAGGCTGAGCCCCAAAGGGGAGTGGACACGAGGCGGTGTGCCAACAAAGATGCTGGGCCCAAAAATGGGTAGATTAGGAGGTCCCACATCGATTAGAGAAAGGGAATGAGTGTCAACGAGGATGCTTGGCTCCAAAGGGGTGGATTGTGAGATCCCACATCAGTTAGAGAGGAGAACGAAACATTCTTTATAAGGGTGTGGACACCTCTCACTAGCTCATTTTAAAGAGAACCCCAAAAGGAAAATCACAAATAGGACAATATCCGCTAGCGGTGGGTTTGGGGTGGTTACAACATAGGACTCGAACTAGATGCTAACATCCAACCAAACATCCGACCAAAAGTAAACAAATGTGATTTTGTGGCAGTTGAAAGAGAAGAAATCCAAATGGTACCTGAGAATAACAGTCAATTGCTGTTTTAAAATCCTTGTCACGAAATGCCAAGTCCCCACGCTTCCTTGCCTCCAACATGTCTCTCATTTGTTGAGTCCATTCTTGGAAAGACAACTGGAAAAGAATTCTAGAAATTTAAACATATCATACAGAAAATAACAACATTTGTTTAAGAATCACAATGACTTTACCTCGTTTGTTCCTTCGTCGTCTTTGTAGTGTGTCATTACCAAAATCTGATGGATAGCAGTGAGATCCATCCTCGTACAAGCATCGCCCATTGGAGTGAGAGGATGTTGTGGCGTTAGAGGCGCTTCCTCATGCTTTGGAATTCCTAGCATCACATAAGATGGAACCTGCAATCTCAAGACATGTCTTTTAAGCTTAGACCATTGGCCAATGCACTACTTGAAGGCACCGAACGAGACAAAAGAATCGAGGCCGCTAGTAGATATTGTCCTCTTTGAGCTTTTCCTTCTGGGTTACCCCTCAAGGTTTTAAAACGAGTCTGGTAGGGAGAGGTTTCCACACTCTTATCGGAATGCTTCGTTCCCCTCTCCAACTGATGTAGAATCCACCCCCCTTAAGACCAGCATCCTTGCTAGCTCACCGCCCGATGTATGGCTCTGATACCATTTGTAATAGCCCAAGCTCTCCTAGCTCTGATACCATTTGTAACAATCCGAGCCCACCACTAGCAGATATTGTCCTCTTTGGACTTTCCGTTCTGGATTTCCCTTCGAGGTTTTAAAACCCATCTAGTAGGGAGAGGTTTCTACACCCTAATAAGGAATGTTTTGTTCCCTTCTCCAACCGATATGGGATCTCACAATCCATCTCCTTAGGGGCCCAGCGTCCTCGTTGGCACACTGCCTGGTGTCTGACTCTATACCATTTGTAACCGCCCAAACCCACCGCTAACAGATATTATACTCTTTGAGTTTTCCCTTCTAGGATTTATCTCAAGGTTTTAAAATGCGTCTGGTAGGGAGAGGGGTTTCCACAACCTCATAAGGAATGCTTCGTTCCCCTTTCCAACCGATGTGGGATCTCACAATCCACCCCCTTGGGGACCCCCAACATCCTCGTTGGCACACCGCCCGGTGTCTGACTCTGATACCGTTTGTAACAGCCCAAACCCACTGCCAGACGTGGGATCTCACAATCCATCCCCTTGGGGACCCCCAACATCCTCGTTGGCACGCCGCCCAGTATCTGACTCTGATACCATTTGTAACAGCCCAAGCCCACCGCCAGTAGATATTGTCCTCTTTAGCCTTTCCCTTCTAGGTTTCCTCTCAAGGTTTTAAAACACGTCTGGTAGAGAGAGGTTTCCACGCTCTTATAAGGAATGCTTCGTTCCCCTCTCCAACGGACATGGGATCTCACAGAAATGAATATCAAATACAAGCTAATAACATGGTTGCTTACATCAGGTTTATTTTGTAAGGGTTCGAGGGTTGCAACAAGGTCCTTAGTATTTGGCCGATCCCGAGGTTCATATTGTAAGCATCGTGAAGCAAGATCAAAAACGACAGTTGCCTCCGCAGTTGAAAAGTTACCCTCCAAATGCGAATCCATTAAAAGAATAATGTTTTTGCCTCGTATCATATCGAGTGCCTGCACATAACATTGCACATATTAATTCTTGTCATAGCAAATGATTTATTAGCTTCAAAAAAGTTCCATTGCCCTTTGACCAATAAAAGCTACGTGGGTTACAAGAATCAAACACTTACATGACTAGGAGGGATGTGCTTGCCACTTAGTAGATCTAAGAGCACTGTTCCAAAGCTAAAGATAACACTTTCTGCAGTCACTCGTCCTGTAACAAACAACCACATACATGAGTAAAATCGAAGTTCTTCTCCCAATGAATGATAAAATATTCGAGGAAGCCGCCCGAATGTGTGTAATAGCCCAAGCCCATCGCAGGTAGATATCGTCCTATTTGGACTTTCCCTTTCAAGTTTCCCCTCAAAGTTTTTAAAACACGTCCGCTAGGGAGAGGTTTTCACACCCTTACAAAATTCATCCCCCTTTGAGACCCAGCGTTCTCGTTGACACTCGTTTCTCTCTCCAATCGATGTGGGATCTCACAATCCACCCTTTTCGGGACCTAGCGTCCTCGCTGGCACACCGCCCAGTGTCTGGCTCTGATACCATTTGTAAGAGCCCAAGCCTACCACCACTAACAGATATTGTCCTCTTTCGGTTTTCCCTTTCAAGTTTAGGTTTTTAAAACAAGTACGTTAGGGAGAGGTTTTTACACCCTTATAAAATTCATCCCCCTTCGAGACTCAGCGTCCTCATTAACACTTGTTTCTCTCTCCAATCGATGTGGGATTTCACAATCCACCTCCTTCGGGACCTAGCGTCCTCGTTGGCACATCGCCCCGTGTCTGGCTCTGATACCATGTGTAAGAGCCCAAGCCTACCGGATATTGTCCTCTTTACGCTTTGTCTTTCAAGTTTCCCCTCAAGGTTTTTAAAACAAGTCTGGTATGGAGAGGTTTTCACACCCTTATAAAATTCATCCGCTTTCGAGACCCAGCATCCTCACTAACACTCGTTTCTCTCTCCAATCGATGTGGAATCTACAATCCACCCCGCTTTGGGACTTAGCGTCCTCGCTACCATACAGCCCAGTGTTTGGCTCTGACACCATTTGTAAGAGCCTAAGCCTACCGCAACTAGATATTGCCCTCTCTGAGTTTTTCCCTTCAGACTTCCACTCAAGATTTTTTAAACGCGTCTACTAGGGAGAGGTTTCCACACCCTTATAAATTTCATCCCCTTTGAAGCCCAGCGTCCTCTCTCTCCAATCGATGTGGGATCTCACAATCCACCCCTTCGGGGCCTAACGTCCTCACTAGCACAACTCCCCATGTCTGGCGCTGATACTATTTGTAACAGCTCAAGCCAACCGCTAGCAGATACTGTCCTCTTTGTTCTTTCCCTTTCAGGTTTCCCCTCACAGTTTCAAAAACATAACATGTCTCCTAGGGAGAGGTTTCCACACCCTTATAAAAAGTTCGTCCCCGTTCAAAGCCCAGCGTCGTCGCTGACACTCGTTCCTCTCTCCAATCAACGTGGGAACTCACAATGTAGCTAACATGAACGAATACAAACAAGAACACATACCATTTCTTAAATATTCAGGTGGAGTATAGGCAAGATTAGTGCTATAACTTTTACCATCCCGGCTGTTCTTCATCAATCCAAAACAAGAAAGTCGAGGATCACCATTCTGTCAAAACAAAACCCATCAGCAAACCATAATTCAGCTCTCATTCAGACAAAACATGACCATATACAAAACCCATTGTAGCATCACCTCATCAAATAGAACTCTATACGCATTCAAATCATGATACAATGGACGTTCCTGAGAGCTACAGTAATCTAGTGCCTTAGCCATATGTAAAGCAACTCTCAATCTCATAGCCCACTCAATCGTCTGATTCTCCCCTGTCAAGTAAACCCAAAATGGATATCACCACACCATGAGCTAATAACCAAGAACAAAGATCTTAATCTCATAAATTATAACAACATACAATGGAACAGATGCTTTGCGAGGGTGTCATTGGGCATATACTCCGCAATAAGAAGCCTCTCATCGCCTTCACAGCAATACCCAATAAGATTCGCCAGCCTTTTATGCCGCAATTTACCCACCCCTGATGCTTCCTCCTAAAGAAACCGATCAAAATCATACAAGAAATCAACAATGGAATGTAATCGAGAAAAATGGAGAAATGGGTTTCAAGGATTAGTACAGCGAACTGTTTGGGGTCGGGCCAAGCTAACTTAGTGAACTTCTTGACGGCGATCCAGCGGCGATTGCTCTGGTTTTGAAGCCGACCTTTGTAAACGACATTGGGGGCTTTCTCGCCGCTCTCGGAAACGATGTAATCCGAGCTGAAATTGTTGGTAGCAGCCTTGAGGTCGGCGAAGGAGAACTCGGAGAAAGCAGGGACGCCGCCGCTGCCGCCGTAGCCGGCTGCAGGATCAGAAGAGCCATTAGAAGGATGTGATTGGGAATTGTTTTGGGGAAGAGGGGCATGATTGTTTGTGCCTCCTAGACTGTGAGCCCTCTGTAAGGACGATCCACAGCAGCCCATGACTGACTCGTCCACTCAATCCGCCGCCCACCTCCACCAGCTCCGCCGTTTAACTAGAAAAACCTCATACAGCTCCGCCGTTTACTTGAAAGCTCCACTCTCTCTCTCTCTCTTACCCTCTCTCTCTCTTCTGGTTTTTTCCCTATTTTTTAATTTTCTTGGGTTGATTTTCCATGGCTGGGCACTGACAGGACCTCTGTTTTTCTCTCAGCTTCCTCCTCGCATTGAGTTGTCTTTTTTGAGTCGGGGAGGGGTAATTTGGTAATTTCGGATAACGTCTCTTTTTTGTTTCTCGCGCTGTACTGTCACGTCCGTTGTCATTTTTTAATTTTTGTTATTAAATTATATTTTCCACAAAATTATGAATTATTATTATTGTTATTTAAATTATAAATAATTATAAATGATGAATAATAATGCTCCGGCCTCTGTTCCTACCTATTTTATTATTATAGTTATTGGAAATCGAAATGTCCTTTTTTTAAAATTTTATAAAATAATTATAATTAATTATCTGCTCAAACAATTATAAATAATTTTGAATTTTGTCTTTTTTTAGTGTACAAAATTAAATTAAATGTTTTAATCGTGAAAAATTCTCAATATATTTTATCTATTTTTATTTGGCTCGGGTCAAACCCGAAGGTTTTACCCATGAACTCGAAACAGAACTGATTCAGTTCGGGTTCAGACAAAATGGACCCAACCCTACCCGAAATGCTAATCCAACCCAACCTTTATAGTTCGGGTTGGGTTGGTCCAGGTTGTCGGGTTGAATGTACACCCTAGTATTTAATAGAATTTAAATTTTTTATTTTATGTCTAATAAAATTTTAAATTTTTTAAATAATTAAATGTATGAATGATTTAGTATATATAAAGTTAAAAATTTAAACCAATATTAGAAACTACTGTGAGATCACATGTTGGTTGGAGATGGAAATAAAACTTGAAAACCTCTCCCTGGCAAATGCGTTTTAATAATCTTGAGAGGAAGTTCGATAAGGAAAGCCTAAAGAGAACAGTATATGTTGGAGACAGAGGAAAAGGGAAAGCTTAAAGAGGACAAAGATTGAACCCCGAAGGGGGTAGACAACCGGCGGTGTACCAATAAGGATGCTGGACACCGAACAGGGTGGATTGTGAGATCCACAAATCAATATTTATTAGAGTGTGGAAACTTCTCCTAAACATACACGTTTTAAAAACCTCAAGAGGAAGCTCAAAGAGAACAATATCTGTTAGGCTAGGTTTGGGCAGAGGGAAAGAAAAGTCCAAAAGACGGTTTTAAAAACCTTGAGGGGAAGCTCAAAAGAAAAAACCCAAAGATGATATATCTGGTGGACATGAGCTTGGGCGAACAGAAGCCCAAAAGACACATTTTTTTAAAAATCTTGAAGGGAAGTTCAAAAGAAAAAACCCAAAAAGGACATATCTGCTAAACGTGAGCTTGGACGGACGGAAAGCCCAAAAGACGCATTTTTTTAAAACCGAAGTCCGAAAAAAAAAGCCCAAAGAGCACAGTATATGCTACGCATGAGCTTGGGCAGAAGAAAAGTCCAAATAGTACAATATTTACTAGACTTAGACTTACGCGTAACTAAAATCCGAAAAAGTTAACATGTATTAGAGAGTGAACTTGAGCTATTACAACGGTATTCCTTAAAAAAACATGTCTGCATAAACTTTTTAAATTTTTTTAATTTTCAATTAAAAAAAACTAAATTTCTATGCAAATAAATAAATAAATGTTTTGAAAATCTCACCTCACTTGAATTATAATTCTAAATAAATAATTTGATTTTTTTAAAAAATTCTATATATTTTAATAATACAGCTACAAATAAAGTTTTTTTTTTTATAATAAAAATGGTAGAATTATTAATATTTATGAAAGAGATTATGTATTTAATGAATTGGTTGTCCTTAGAACCTATTAAAATATGATAGCTATCATATTATTATTAATAAATATCTTTATCTCATGAATCATGGAATACCATTACGTACCAATTTGCAAATATTTATATCTTTAAAATGCTTTTTTTATTATTATTAAAAGACTATCGTTGTTAGAGAATAATTAAACATCTAATATTTATTTTTTTAAAGGTACGTGCGATTAAAATTATTTGGACCAACTTAAAATTATAGATTCGTTCGATTAGTGGCCCGAACAATCTGAATAGAGTTAACAACTAAATTCTTTATTTTCGGGTTGAGTTGGATTGTTTGATTTTTTTTTTAAAATCATATTTATCAACTTAATAACTAAAATCTCATAAATTTTAAATATTAAGAATTCACAAGTCACGAAAAATCACTGACATCAGTTACAAACGTCAAATATTCTTAATTTTCATAGTGATCTTAAAAGTAGAATAGAGTTGGATTGGGTTGTAACCCTGTTTTCGGGATCTGACCAAGAAAATGTCAACTTACGAACCGACCCGAATTTTTAATTTTCCAAAAAGTCAACTCAACCCAAACCCAACAAAGAAAATGTATCACTCATATCGGTCACAAAAGTTAAATATTCTTAATATTCATAATAATTTAAAAGTATGATAGAGTTGGATTTCGTTGTAACCCTATTTTTTGGATCCGACCAAAAAAGTGTCAACCCACTGACCAACCCGAATTTTTAATTTTTCAAAAATTCAACCCAACCAAAATTTATGATTTAGATTGGATAGTTCGAGTTGGTCAGGTTATTGGTCCATATAAATATCTTTAATATACACATTTTAAAACCTTGAGAGGAAACCCAAGAGGAAAAGCCCCAAAATAAGATATTATCTACGTTTGGGCCGTTATAAATGACAAATGGCATTAGAGGTAGGTTGTGGGCGGTGTGCCAATGGAGATGCTGGACCCTAAGGGGTGGGGTGTGAGATCCCACGTTTCTTATAAAGGTGTGAAAATCTCTAGAACAAGCCAACACGTTTTAAAAACCTTGAGGCTAACGAATCCAGTTGTGGGCGGTGTGCCAATAGGGACGCTAGCCCCTAAGAGGTGGATTGTGAGATCCCACGTTTCTTAAAAAGGGCGTGGAAACCTCTAGAATAAGCCAACTTATTTTAAAAACCTTGAGGCTAATAGAGCCAGGTTGTGGGCGGTGTACGAGCAAGGACGTTAGGGTCTAAGAGGGTGGATTGTGAGATCCCACATTCAGAAACCTCTGGAACAAGCCAATGCATTTTAAAAACCTTCAGGCCGACGAAGCCAATTGTGGGCGGGCCCCTAGCTGGTGGATTGTGAGATCCCACGTTTCTTATAAGGGTGTGGAAATTTCTAGAACAAGCCAACGCGTTTTAAAAACTTTGAGGCTCACAAAGCCAGTTTGTGGGCAGTGTGCCAACGGAGACAGCCCCTAAGGAGGTGGATTGTGAGATCCTATATTCCCTATTAGGGTGTGGAAACCTATATCGCTGGCTCCTAAGGAGGTGAATTGTGGATCCTACATTTCTTACAAGAATGTGGAAACCTCTGTAACAAGCCATGAACAATAGTTGGCTAACCCGGGAACCCTAAGCCTTTCTAAACGTCTCCCAAATGAGCCCTTAAATGTGCCCAATCAAAGAGCCGTTTGGTTCAAAATTTAAGCAACCAACAGGAAATGGATCTATATTTACTCGATTCATGGCTCACCCAAAATCATAATCAATCAATGCTACCAATTAATCATAAACCCATAAAGAATTAAATACAATAAACGAATCATTTGAATGAATCCACCAAAAAAAAAAAAAAAAAAAACGGTGAAGAATGAATTGAATGCTTGAAGAAGCTTGAAGCTATGGCGGACCTGGCTGGCTCTGAGCTATGGCTGAAGAACAGAGCTCCTCGTATGCTGTAATGGAGTCCCCACAAAACCTCGTCAACCCCACAAGAACCTGCCTCACCCCCTGTTGAATCTCACACCCATTAAACTTACCCACTTTATGCACAGTCCCCGCCGCCACCGCCGCCGTTGTCTTCTCCTCAATTTCTTGATTCATCTTCTTCGCCTTAATCTTCTTCTCCAAATCTCTGTTCCCCAACGCCAATCTCTGCAAATCCCAACTCTGCTGCTCCAGCGCCTCGTCCAACTTCGACACCACCCCCTGTATAGCCTCAGAGACATCCTTGTCGGAGAATTTCTCGGCCGTGTCGGACCAGAGGTACGCTATTACGAATACAGGAGGAGCACCGATTCTCGCCGGAGAGAATGGCGGCGGACAGCCGCCATTCGGGGTTTCTTCCGGCTCGGGTTCGTGTAATAGACACCGGAGTAGCCAACCGTTGAGCGCTTTGATGCAATCCTTTTGCGTGGCGATTAAGTTCACGAAATTTGATCTCCAATTCTCGAGTTCGAGCTTTAAATCCATGGCGGCTTCCAGATGGGCGTCGTCCAAGGCGCCGTTGAGGACTGATTCGAAGGGTTTGGCGTCCGTTAATGCCTGGGTTTGCTGCTTGTGAGCTTCCGACATGGCTTTCCACATGCTCTGTAATCTATGAACACGAAGAACAATAATGAAATTAAAAAAGACAATGATTTTAGGCTCAAAATTTAAATATTATCCATACCCATGAATCAATTCATTCATTTCTGCCAAAAATTCTTCATCCCTCAGCTTACTAATGGTGATCGAAATCCGATCAACCACCTGAATCGAAACATTCAATTTGATCGATAAATTTCTGATCGAGCTACGAACAGAATCAATTTTCCGATCATCGGCGTTCTTCTCCACCAAATTCTTCAGCTGCCGGCATTTCTTTTCAAGAATCATACGCAATCTCTCTAAACCCTAAACCCAATTCATAAACAATCTCAGAAACAGAGCTTCATAAAAATGGCGGAATCAAATGAAACCCATTAGTTAAAAAAGAACAACCTTCACTTCCAGGTACAGTTTCTGCTCCCAAACACAGAGCTTCTTCAAGGTAGATAGCAGCCCTCGAGAGCTTGTTCTTGAATCTTAGCCGCCATGGATGGAAACAAGAAATCAATCAAAGCATGAAAAACAGAGGAAATTACAGAGGAGAAGAAGAAAGGCGATACCTTTGCAGAAACTCATTCTTTGGCCATAGGAAAGCAGCTTGGAAATGGAATTGCTTGATTCAGACGCTTTTTCAAACGAACCCTTGATTTCTGTCATTAAATCCACGACACCCATTTTTGATTCATCAATTTTCTTTTCCGGTTGGTTTAATTTCTCCGGCGGAGC